CTAGGTGCGTTCTACATGGTCTCCCTGAAAACAAGACCAAGTTGCGACAATGAGGTAAACCCACTTCTATAAATCGAAAGGAGACTGCGACCACACCAGAGGCCACAACATCTTGTTCTTCATATATTCAATAAAGCCCTTGTATTTTGTGTTTTGGATTTTCCGGAGCCTTCATACAGCACTTATATTCATTCGTATAATGGCACAGACTTTTATAAAAATTGGTCTATGCTACATTGGTTTTAAACGTGATCACCATACCTAAAAATTTGCTTTTTCATTTGTTCTTTTTTAGCACTCTGCCACAGCCCCAGAAATAACTTACGCCGAGTCTCTAAATTGCCTAATAGACGTACCTGGTCAATGGCTGAGTCCATCGCACTCTACCAAGGCGTTCTTCACAAACCTGGATCCTGTGTATGGTCCAATATTTGGAAACAGGCTTTTCAATCTACTGATCGCCGACCCACTGACCTCCGTGATCGTTGGCGGGTAATCTCGGCCCCCTACAACCATCGTCTTATGAGCCAAGTTGCAGGACACTATGAATCCTGGCTGCGAGAACATGGAAGCTCTCTTGCTGATACATCTCCTCCAATTGCTACAGTTTCTCCTTCATAGTGAAACGGGGATACGTTTTCATGCTTCTCCTGTCTGGACACACCAAATTGGATGTTCTTATATGTCTCTCTTCATTTGGGTGAAAGGCGTCTGATCTAATGAACCTTGACTCTTGCATACTATCTCTTATGATCCTATAAATATTTTTTTATATTTTTGTACAATTTTTTCCTCTTGTATGGATGCATTTTTTGTATGGGCATCTTACAATTCCTTGTCCTAAGCGTTTACTCCCCTTTTTCATGTTATAATAATGTTTTATGTTCGTTTGACTATTTTTACCGATAAAAATTATATTTTTATTCGCATTTTAATCTTTCTATTATAAAAATGCGTATGCATTTATCTTATGTATTATGAGTTTTCGTTAAAGCTAAAACTTATAAAACAGCTAGATATACTTAACTCATTTAGGAATATCATATCTCTAAAATAATTGTAAACAAGTTACTACTATTCTGTACATTCGATTGTGATTTCTATGCTATTTGGTGTGAGATCAAAGCACACTACTTGTTTCGATTCTTTTCCAAATGAAGCTTAAATAATGCAATTTTGTCATAAAAACAATGGTTGGATTATGTTGCATTGATTAATTCTAAGAAAATGGCAGGATATATCGTCCATACTATTAGTTAAAGACAATGGTGCAGCGATAATTTATTTGCCGTATAAACTAATGTTATCAGCCTATTATTAATATTATCAACAAAAGCTGAAAATCTTGATTTTGACCTTGTAGTTCCTTTATGAATATCAGGTCAAATGTTGATTACCCCCCCTCCCAGTTATCGATCACTGCCTTAAGGAAGGCATACGATCTGCGAGATTTTTCTTCTACTGGTTCCTTAATACCGATGGTGAACGTAGCAAGTGTGCATGTTTTCTCACGGGGGCTGGCTCTTGTTACCAAGTCTAGTTGTAAACCATTGTTTCTTGGTTTAGTTAAACGTACATATCTAGCCCTTGAAACTCGTAGTGGGCTTCTCTCTCCACTTTTCTTACTATTTCTTTTCAAATTATCCTATAAAACCAAGACGCCTGCTTTTTTCAATATTTAATATTTTTCTATAAGTTAAGGCCGCCTGAATTGATATAACTTTCGTAAAATCCGTAGCATTCGTTTTGCTACAAAAAGTAATCAGCCACTAAGTTTTCCCCAGGGTCTTATAGGCTTGCGAAATACTTATCATATTTGGTATAATAAAATAAGTCATTTCTTGTAGTATTTAACAAAACTGTAGGAACTTTATGAGTGGGTGTCTAAGAGGATATATATGTGTATGAAAAACCATCAACGTTTCCTAAAATAAAAAGAATATCAAGAACGAACAAAAGCTTTAGACGCATCAATTTTATTTAAATGCTTACTGGAAGTAATAAGGATCACTTAAGTTTGGACACGTTAAAAGTATCTTTGAAGTTTTTTTGAAGAGGCCTTTATAGGACAAATTAAAGTAGAAAGTATAATCATCTTGGTCACTTAAAGTAGTTAAGGACAGATAGTTGAGTTTGTCTATAATGCAAATGGAAGTCCTCTAGATGCAATTAATTTTCAATTAGTCTTGTGTCTCATAAGCATTTACATCCGAGGAGAATATGGCCTAGCCTTCCCCTTGGTTTTATCTGAACCCCAAAAAGTATTAGAAGCCAGGTAGTAAGCGTAAAGTTGATATATTTACCTAGCCCTGACACAGAGCCAGAGATGTCATGGACTAGATGTGACATTTAGGAAAGCCAGGACTCGCAATTTACAATTATTTTGGGCAAATAATTGATTAATTATCGGTCTTGGCTACATGAAGTAGGAGCGAGTGAGGTGGATTAGTGCGCTTCTATTTAAGGCATATGAGTAAATAACAGCCGTCTGTTAGTAAACTTATGACTAATTGAGCTAAAATCAGAGTTAATCGTACCATATTTTACTTATTTCTTTAACACTACGCTGGAAAACACTTTTCATAATCCTATTATTTATTCAACCTTCTCTAGTCCTTGAGAAGTATATAGATTTTTGGTTAAGCTGTTAGCGTGTAAAGATAATAAAAAAAAGATTGTGTATTAATGCAGTAGTAAAATCAATTAATTAGCTTAACAATATAACTTATATACAATTATTAATTAATAACTTAAGTTATTAGTAAAAAATATCTTTTTCAAAAGTGTTGGCAAATAACTTAAATGACGTTATTGTAACCTAGTTGTTTTTACATTTACTTTATTCTCCCGGTCTTGTTGTCGATGAGGCTTTATAACTCTATCCTTCTTCGCTGCCCCAACTATTTTTTCA